ATTATACTAAGTAAATTTCTATCTCGATCGGAAAGAGAGAAAGATGCATGTAACGCAGACCGTTGTTTATTTTGTAGCAGCAGTAATAATTTTTGCATTTAATAAATATGATTAATTGTGACAGATTATGTGTGTATATATGTATATATATATATATATTTTTGTCATGATTAATTATATTTACTGAATGCAAAAATAATTACTGCCACTGCAAAACAAGCAACAATTTACGTTATATAGATATAGCGTAAAGACATGTAAGATACTTATTATTTTTATTATTTAGATTATTTATTATTTAGGCAATAATTATTGACAAATTATGAGTATCATATCATGAAATAATTTTATATATATATGTAACATATTATCTATAAGTTTTCTATTATAAAATTCAAACATGTAAAATATTATTTCAGATTGGAGTTGGATACCATTTTTAGAATAGATATCTGTCATTGTGACATTTAAGATTTTATTGAGATACATGTTTAAAAGTCCGAAATTTTACGTACATAATACAAGTAATTGCTATGGACGCAGAAACAAATTATCAAAAGAAGCATTACTACTATATACAAATGAGTTTTTTTGTAATTATAATTATTTATAACAACATTGAAAAAATTAGTTTTAAATATATTATTAAGTATTTTTAATTTTCTTTTATTTTGTTTCTCTCTCTTAACTTAATATATTATAAATATTTTAATAGAATTTATTTCAAGAAATATGTGTTGCATTATTATTTGATTTCAATGACCAATATCTTATTTAGAAAATCGCTAAGAAAAATCACTAAAAAATCTATTCTTTATATTGTCGCTAATCTCATTGTGTATTGCCTTTATATATTATAAGAGTTTTAAAAGTGAATTATAAAATTACATATCAGAATTTAGTTCTAGATCGAAAACGTTTCTATCTCAAAGCTTATTGAAAGAAATATTAAGTCAATAAAAATTAAATTGTTTCAAACATCAAGCAAATCAAGTGTGGCACGGAAACATCATTATTTCAAATCTATTTTCTCGTAACTTTTTTACTTTTCTCTCTTCATCTTCGTATTCGTTTTTTTATTTATTATCGTTTACTTTCCTTTTTCTTTTGTTCATTACATGACCAAGAACCTTGATGCTCACAGAGGTATAAACGGTCAAAGTCCCAGGATACCCTTTATTCCTCAAACGTCCGTAAAAGTTGGCACCGAACGATTTTGCTGCAGATTGAATTTTGCTGGCGGCAGTAGTTGGCCGCGACCATTGTCACTGCAGATTGCATTGAACCGAATCAATGTAGTCACACGTGTGTGGTGGACTTGAGCTATCTTGGAAAAAAGTTGTCGCATTCAATAACAAAAATTATTTGATTGGAGTGAAGGACTAACTTTAACGACAATATAAAAAATAGACATTGTAACAGTATATTTTTAATATACATTTACATTAAACTTATTTACATATACATAATATTTTTCATTTAATTTTGTGTCGTTGTTTTGTCGTTTTACTGATAAATATTTAATTAAAAGAATAAAAGAAGACAACACAAAAATATTATTTTTAAAAGTAAATAATACAATTATATACATATATAATCAAATATCTTTAACAAATTAGATTTTGATACGTATATAATGCGCGTTTGCTGCTGCAGGTGTTTTTATATTTCACTGTTACTTTGCATATCCTCTGTATCATCTGCTTTACGATCCGCGATTTAATTTAATAGATTATATTTATCTGTTATACTTTTATTTTTATTTGTTGTAGCAGATTGTCTTGAATGTATCGTAAATTTTACACTTAATTATGGTCTGGTGAGAATAATACAGATTTATCTCGTTTTCTTCTCAATCAAAATTTTTTCGCGCGATAATGTGAACAATACGTATTATAACAATATTTACGTTAGATTACTTTATTCGTGCATTTTATGAAGATAGCATGAATGATTTAATTGCAAATTGGATTCGCCTGTGCTTTCGTTATTTTTCATTATTTTAATCGTAATTGAAACTCTTGTGATTACAAAGTCCTTTTATCGTGCGTTTTCAGTGCAGAATCGCAACTCATTTTAATATCTGTGCCTTGCCAAAACTCATTAGCGATGTTATTTTACGCCATATTCATTAATAAACGTGATATATCGTAGAAAAAATATTCTCACGTATTGATGCGTTTATTTATA